CTTTGACCTTTTTCTTTTCCAAGCTATTTGTTCAATCAGACTATAGTAAGCCAATCAGTTCAATACTAGACAGTAAGATGCTGGACTTCCTGAAATGATTCACAGATTTTTCTTTTTAATCTGTCTTCCATCTCTTTATCTACTTTGTGAGATTTCCTTGACTTTGAATTCCTAGCCTACCTATTGATACTTTATTTCCACTGTTTTACTGGAAATTTGTGAGAACTCTTATATTTTTGATCATTCTTTTTGATAGTGTTCTGTTTTAGTCATCGGGCACTTTGGTGGGCTAGTGGGTAAGGAGTTGCACTGCCAGCCCAAAGCGGGTGGTTCTAATCTACCAGCTGCTTCATGGGATAAAGAGGGCAATCCCCTCCTATCTGATTTACAGCCTCTGCTTACATACCGGAGAGTCAGCTCTGAGTCAGTCCTGGCTCCATGGCAATGACTTTTGACCTTTTTATTCTAGCTGTATCTCTTATCCTTCTGAAGATATTTGTAATTTTTTGAAAAATATAATTGATTTTTTGTTTGTTTTGCTTTAATTAAAGCCTTAGTTTCCTTCACTGTCCAGTTCCCTTGTGGGTTCCTTTTTCATTTTATCTCTTTGGGCAGCTTGTTCATGCACAAGAATGAAATATATATATATGTTTCATATATATAAATACATAATATGAGAGAGAGTATATCATACCATCTGTTTGCTGAAGAAAATAATGTGAATGCTTCTTTACATTTACAAGCTAGAGTCTAATGTTTGTTAGTTGTGTTAGCTATCACTTGTTAATGTTTAGTTAAAATAATATGTGTCTTTGGCTTTGGGGTTAAATTGTTCTATAGTAGTATGGTCTATCTTGTGCCTTTTCCTGCGTCTTTTATCGTTAACGTGCTGGTCTATATTTATTTCCAAAACCTGAAGCCACTCACCATCTGCATGGGTCATTGTTCACTGAGCCGTGATCATTCTCTGTTGGTGGACAGGCTTGGTTTAATGTTAGGAGACCTCTGTATTTTATGGAAAGGGAGAGAGTGTTGAACAGAACCATTCTACAAATTTCAAAACTATCCCAGTCTGCTTCCACTTTTCACTTTCCTCTTCAGTTCCAAGGTCACATGAATGCACAACCTTTGTTTTATCTCTTTATGTGTTAAATGCTTACTCTACTGTTCTTCAATAACACATTCTTCACATCACTTATCTCAATCTTACAAGGTCAAAGCCTGGACTCCCACTGCACCTCCATTCTTTTAGTATATTCAAAGAATTGATTTTTTTTTTTTAGTCTTCTATTCTTCTCCTAAAGAAACCCGCCAATGAGTTGGTTTTTCTGTCTTACAGCTCTTAACTGCTCTTTTCAGATTTTGTATTTGTTCTATGTGTGGTGTTTATTGTTATGTACTGTCAAGTCAGAAACAACTCATCACTGATCTTCCAACAGGATTTCAGAGGCAGTACAGTGCATGGGCGATTGCCCATCTTTCTCCCATGGAACAGCTGGTGGATTTGAATTGTGTTCCTTTAGGATTGGCAGTATACCTCCTTACCACTAAGCCATCAGAGTTCCCTTCTACATGTAGTAAATTGTATTAATGTTAGCCAATGCCAATTTATTTTTCACGAACATTTCTTGGTTCACTAGGTTTTGCTGACTTTACTACTTTGTCCTGTACAATAGCTGTGGTTAAGAGGCTTTAAGAGCCTACCCATTGCCATCAACTTGAGTCCTACCCAAGCTGACCCTCCATTGGGTTAGCAGCTGTCTGCTTGCCATCGAGTTGGAACTGGCTCATAGATGACTCTCAAGTTTCTGAGGCTAAATTGTGCAGGAGGCGATTGCCCATCTTCTCCCTTGAGGTTCCTAGTGGATTCGTGCTACTAACTCCCTATTGACAATGCCACCAGTGCTCAGCAGCCCAACCAGGTGACTCCAAATCTAAAGAATCAAACTCACTGGAAATTCCTGTTTGCAGTGCTGCCAGCAAGTAGTGATTCCTTCCTCCCAGGGCCTAAAATTAAGGAGTGCAGTGCTGCAGGAACCAGGAAGTTAGAACTGGCAGCTTTGGGTTAGTGATGTTAAGAAGTAGTGGTTTTATGCTCCGAAGAGAAAACTTGAAAAATAATTAGGAAACTTCTCTTCATCACCCTTCTTCTCTGCACTGCTCTCGACCACCCTGCTCTTTCATAATCTTTTTCTTTTCCTTGGTGCAAGCTTTCTGGGGTCATGATTCTGGGTTTTTTCCTCCTCTCTGAATTCTTACCCAGATGTTGTTTCTTGTTGTTTTTCCACGTGTCTCAGTGCACTTGCTGACAGAGTGCTTCCCTTTTATCTTCTTATTTTAAGTGTATACAATTTTGGAAACTAAACCTGTCACCACCATTATTTCCTCCTCTCCTTATCATAAAGAACTCATTTCCTCTGGTGTGACACCATCTGTTATGACTCTCTTAGAAGCTCTTTTGACTATTTTATCAGTATCTTTAAAGCTCATCAAGTCCTCTTTATTGTATTTTTGGCTGCAAAGGAGAGGAAGTAACCTTTATCAGTTTTTAACTATATTGCTGTAGTGCAGTCTGCCTCTCACCTGCTGTAAGATGATGCCTCTCACAGTCCCTTCTGCTCAGTTCATCTGCTCTCCTGTAGCTGGGAAGCACTTCTTGTTTCATAACTAACAGATTGCTGTAGTATTTGTAGCTGAAAGGTTAAAGAAAATTAAAAAAGAGTTGGCCAGCTTTACTATTCTCGTACTACCTATTCTAGGGCACTCTGCTGACTTAGTGGTAAGGAGTTGCATTGCTAAGATAAAAGTATTGAGTTTGTATCTACCACCTGCTCTACTGAAGGAAGATGGGCAGTCTCCTGTGTGATTTATGACCTCTGAAAATGAGCTGGAGGGTCAGCTATGGGTTAGTTCCGACTTCATGGTACACAACAACAATAACGTTAATTCTAGTCTGTTATTTAGTATTTACAGGATGTCTTTACTTCTTATTCCTGTTACCACCAAACGTGCACCCAAGCATTGCATTAAAGAATGAATTGACAAGTTGAAAGAACTCAGAAAAATGTGGAGAACTTTGTTTATTCATCTTATTAAAAGAAACCTTTTTTATAGGACTTTGAATTCATAGGCAAGAATGATTTCAAGCATAAAGCTACATAGAACTGGGGGGGGGGGGGGCGAGAGAAGTCCAGAGCTGTCAGATTCTTTCCAATTCATAGTGACCCAGTAAGATAGGGTAGAATGGCGCCATTAGAGTTCCAAGACTGCAGATCCTTTTTTTAAAAAAAAAATTTATTATTTTTGTGTGTGTGTACCGTCAAATCAGATCTGACTGGTACAGGAGAAGATTGTCTCTCCTCCAGCAGAGAATCTGGTGGATTTGAACCACGTACCTTTGGGATTAAGACTGCAGATATTTATGGAAACAGATGCTGTGTCTTTCTCCTGGGGAGCAACTGGTGAGTTTGTACTGCCTACCTTTTGGTCAGCAGCTAAGAGCTTTAACTGTTGTGCCATTGGAGGATTCTTAATAAAGTTCTTATTTGTTTGTATACTACAATTACTTAATTGTGGATAAAGAATAGGTAAGTCTTCAAATGATATTTCAAAGCAGATTTTAATTTTCAAATTCCAATAGCAGCTTCTCAGGAGGAAGATGGGCAGTCTCACCCTGTGCCATTTACAGCTTCCGAAAGCCAGTGAAGGGCCAGCTGTGAGTCGGTTCTGACTCATGTTAATGAATTTGCTGTGTTCTGTTCTAAAAATAATAAGTGCATACTGCAAGGACTTCTTATGAATATTAAAAACTCAACTAAAAAACCCGTTCACAGCAACATACTCAGTAGAGAGGATTTTCCAGGAAATAAAGGAGGGTGGAGGGACAGCACAAGAGGGGAAGGCCCTCTATGAGGTGTGGATTGATTCAGTGACTGGGGTAATCGGGATGGGAGTGTCAGAGACATTGCGATTGGCACAGGACAGAACAGAGTTTAGGGCTGTTGTACATAGGGTCGCGATGAGTCGCAAGCGACTCAACAGCACATAACAACACCACAACAACTTCACTCCAAACATTTCAAGAGGCAGATTTTAGAAAGAGTCTGGATGTCCCACCCAGCAGGGCAACACTGCATGGTTCAAAATTGGGAAGGGTGTACATCAGGGATGCGTCCTATCTCCATACCTTTTCAACCTGTATGCAGAGCAGATTATCCGAGAGGCTGGGATCTATGAGGAGAAGCGTGGCATTAGGATTGGTGGACGATCTGTCAACAATCTGCGTTATGCAGATGACACAACCTTGCTCGCTGAAACTGAGGAGGACCTCATGCACTTACTGCAGAGGGTCAAGGACTGCAGCCTTCAAAACGGACTGAGGCTCAATGTCCAGAAGACAAAATTTCTCACCACTGGACCAGTTGGTAGCATCAGGATGGATGGTGAAGAGATTGAGATTGTTCACAGCTTCAGTTTGCTCGGCTCCACGGTCAACACTCTTGGCACCAGTAGCCAGGAAATAAAAAACGTATTGCGATGGGAAAGTCTGCTGTTAGGGACCTCTCTAAAGTACCCAAGAGCAACGGTGTCTCTCTGGAGACTAAGGTCTGCCTGATACAGGCCATGGCTTTTGCAATCACTTGTTATGCATCAGAGAGTTGGACAATGACTAGGGAGGATAGAAGGAGAATTGACGCCTTTGTGCTGTGGTGATGGAGAAGAGTATTGAATGTACCATGGTCTGCCTAGAAAACAAACAGATTCATCGTAGAGAGGATTAAACCAGGCTGCTCCTTGGAGGCAAGGATTCTGTGGCTTCGTCTGACATACTTTGGACATGTTGTAAGGAGAGACAGGTCTTTAGAGAGGGACATCATGCTGGGTAGAGTAGAGGGACAGTGCAGGAGGGGAAGACTCTTTGGCCTGAGTTAACTGTGACACAGGTGTGCACTTTGCACTTCACTTGGTGTGCTTAGATGCATGGTTGTTTTTCATCTTAGATGAGTGACCGAGGAGGTGGAGTTCCTCTGAGGAAAATTGACAGACTCTTCAACTACATGTATTCAACCGCACCCCGACCTTGTGTTGAGACTTCCCGAGCAGTGCCTCTGGTATGTGATCACAAAATAATCTCATGTATATTTGTGGGCTGGTTTCCCTGGGGTCTACCTGCTAGAAAATCATTTAAGTCATTGTGTAGGATGGCCCACAAGGAAGGAGGAATAAATTAGAAAGAAACACTTAATGTAAAAAAGCCTGGGGCAAAATATGTTTTCTTTTTTAATTGTAAAGGGCAGAAACCAAGGAATATTTATTTTGGAGTTCTCATTGCTAGGCTTTTTGGTGATACTTTGTTGTTGACAATTGTATGCTATTGAATTGGAACCAACTCATATCTGACCCTCCAGTGGGTTTTCAGAGACTGAAAATCACACAGGGGATTATCCATCTCTCTCCATTCAAGCAGCTGGTGGGTTTCTGTGGTCTGACTTTATGTTGGCAGCACCACTTCTTCCTACTAAGCTACTAGAGCTCCCTTGTATTAGTAAATATACTAGTAAAAATAAACAACATTTTTTGATATGCCATGAATAATGTGAAGACTAAGTTAATCATTTTACTAGTACTCAGTTAAACATGGATTTTCTCTTCAATGTTGATGTGTTTCCCTTAAGAGTTTGTAATTTATTTAAAAAGATCTCATATTCCAGGCATGGAAAAATAAAACTAGCATTCTGAGAAATGTAATCACTAGCTTGATATGATTCAAATTAGAGTCTTTGTGTTGGTGTTTTTTTGGTCTTAAATCACCTATATCAGGTATAATAAGGTCAGTTTCTGAACTGTCCCTGTCCCTTAAGAGCACATTGCCAAATTTCTGACCTGTAATTCTCGACAGGATGTTGTCTTCTAGCCATAAGCGAGTCTTTAATTAGACCATTCCACATCAAGCCAGCTATATTTGGGGTATAGGTCATATAGTCAGATCAGTAAATGCTGTAGATGTGAGCCCAATTTCCATTTCCTTTGTCACAAACTATATCATCTGGTTGGAAGCAGTAGGATACTGTGGTCCTACCTGCAGGTTTCTGTAAGTCTAGTAGCAGTCTAGAGGTGCTTTAGACATGAAAGCAATTTCATCCCAGAATATTTGCCTGGTATTGGAAGACAAAGCCCTGTCACTGATGGGAGAGGTTCAGTGTTACTGATTTTTTACCAAAGAACTGGAAGGTGCCATGTTGGGGTTCCAGCATTGGCCTCTACTGTTGGTAGGTGGGGCATGTATGTGGCTGAGGTGGCAACCAAGTCAGCCTCAGTGAGGGTTAGACTTGGGGAGTTCTTAGAAAGACTCCTTAGTGCTGCCATGATGGCTCTATCTGTGGACCCTATTAAAAAACAAGCAGTGGGTAACTGGAGAAGGGCTGCCTGCCATCCACAGGAATGAGCATCTTGTCCACCGCATTGTTGAGCACTTCCGAGTGGATGTCTTCTGGTGGGCATTTATATGGGACAGATTAGCTTTACCTTCTAAACCCTTTCAGAGCAAACAAACTGTCCACATTTTCCCCAGACCTCCCTGTTACCTAGTTTTGTTCTTTCTTTCTTTCCGAGTACCTGGTCATCACTGCCTGAAAGTGCTTTATCAGTGTAATCCTTCAAGTTTTGCTCACTGGTAGGATTTATTCTCTTCCAGGCCCACCTTTAAGAGGGCTGTGGGAGGTTGATTTAATGGTGTGACATTCTGTGTAGGGCCATCTGTGGACCAAGTTCATGCCATTTCTTGCTTCTCTGTTAGTTACAGGAGAATCTCCATAGATGTGGTTGAGAGAGAGCAGTGGTAGAGTAGGTCAAGTAACAGGGGTGTCTGAGCTACCTACCTGTGTCCCCTCTTTTGGAGGCTCTTCTAGAACCACTATCAATCAGGAAGTAGGTGGTCAGTCACCTTAGGATAATTCAAGAAAGGTCGTTTATAAAGAAACTACATGACACAGGGAAGTATGGGGAGGGTCCAGGAGCCCAGGATTAGCAGCAGTAGGGCTGGTACCACCCTTACTCTAAGAGAGAAGGAAAAGAAGATAATAGAACCTAGAAGATGAGAAAGTTGTAGAGAGAGGTCTTCTCAATAGGCCCTCTTTACTCCAAGCAGCCTCACAGAGGAAGCCAGGGGAGTGAATAGCTTGACTTTCTCTGTCTCTCAACTCCTTCTGGGTGCCATACAGACTGGATCCCCTGGAAATAGAGTGCTCAGTGATGCATTGATGTAAGTGGTTCCCCTGAGTTTTCAGGGCAGGGAGAATAATGGAGAATGGTTACTTGGAAAGACAAACAGACACTTATGTCAGAGTCTGAATTTGAACCTAGAACCCTGGCTCCTGAGACCACATCAAGGAACTTAAAAGTAATAGATTTAATTCTGCTGACCTTAAAAGTGGGAGGCAGAAGGTAGATCCTGTATCATCTGGAAAGCCTTTCTTAGAAGCTTGCATTTCCGTATCCGTGCAGTGCTAAGCAAGGAAAGGAGTGGACATCTGTGCTCTGTAAATGGTTTCTTTCAGATTCAGCACACAGCTGGAAAACCATGGTCTGAAGTTAGGAGACGTGTTAAGTCACTACAAAATCTATTTCACTTTTGCTTCTAAAATAGCCAACACATTTCATGGAATGTTAAAAGTAGTATTGGAAGAATCTAGAATAGGTCATTGGGAAAAAACAGCACGCTTTTTCCAGAACACCAAAATCATAGAAAACAGAACATCGGGGAGTTTTAAATGACTACAGGGAAGACCCCTCAGCATCTGCTGAGCACTGGTTGGTTCAGGCTTGAAAGGAGTAGTGAGGCTTATGTACATTAGATGTAGGCCCTACTAGCACTGACTGGGTTCTTTGGTGACGTTGAATATAGATAGCAAAGTATTACAAAGTGAAGCTTTTCTGAATCGAATTTTTGTCTTTCTCATTCAACAGGCTGGATTTGGCTATGGTTTGCCCATATCTCGTCTGTATGCACAATACTTCCAGGGAGACCTAAAGCTGTATTCCCTTGAGGGCTATGGGACAGATGCAGTTATCTACATTAAGGTTTGTCTTTAGTTTCTTGATTTAATGATATTTTTATTTATAAGAAAGGATGTCAATATTTAACTATAAATAGAATTTTATTCACTTGATGCAATTTAAAGATAAGAATATTAGGGGTTTGTCTCACAGGCTTTTTACATGTCTGAGAGCACCTAACAAAAGTTTTCGGTTCTGGCCACTAGATGGCGACTATTTGATAGGAAAAGCTTAAGAATGTATATAGGAAATATAAACTTACCTGGAAAGGTTGACACGGTGACTGGAGCAGTGGGCTTGAATGTGTCAGAGATTGTGAAGAAGGCACGGTATAGAACAGTTTCAGATTGGTTGTTCATAGGTCACCATGAGTCATCCTCAACACCTAACAACTTGGTACCTAACAATAACAACCAACAATAGATCATACTGTTCCCTTCTTAGTTGTGGGGAACCTGAAAATGGCAGTATGAAGACAATGTTTTGCCACCAAATGTAATATTTCTTGTTGAGTCTGTGGATGAAAGGGTTCTGGATTTTTTAAAGACAATATATAGGTGAGAATTGTTTAGTTCCATTTTGGGAAGAAACCTAAAAGGTTAAAACTTTAATCAGATAATGAGAAACAATAGTTGATCACTGCTAATTGGATAGCTCCAGTGATTTATAGGAAACTGACAAGAGATCGTGAATTAATGGTAGTGGCATGTTAGAAATGAAGTGATGCCCCACACAGAAATCGTGTGTGCTGGGACTGCAGCGACTGCTTCCAAGGCAAGAGGACTGATGCAGCCAGAAGTGCTTAAGTAAGAGCTGTGTGGCTTCAAATGTAGTGCTGTACTTGTTGAGAATGTTATGAGGAGTTTAAAGACTGTACAGTGACTCTCTCCCATTTTTGTCGAGTTGGTTCCAACTCATAACAACTTTCCATCAAGTTTCAGGAGAAGTTTTCCACCAATCTGTTCAGGAGGAGAGTCCCCTTCTTTCTGTGTAGCAGCTGGTGGATCTGAAGGCAGTATTATTTTTAGTAACTTTTGTGCCCTTGTATAGTTTCTCAAATAGTGAATTTTTAAAAAAATATATCAAAATGGGTCCTGCTTGATTTTTCAGGCTTTGTCGACAGACTCTATAGAGAGACTCCCAGTGTACAACAAAGCAGCCTGGAAGCATTACAACACCAACCATGAGGCCGATGACTGGTGTATCCCGAGCAGAGAGCCGAAGGACATGACAACGTTCCGCAGTGCCTAGAGTACACGGGAAAACCCATCTGTGAATTCTGTACAAAACTTGGAAGGGATGGTGTTGAAAACGGCATTATACCAAATACTCACTGATCGTTGTCACAATTAACTGTTTAGGTTGATTAAATGGAAACTGAATTCCACTTATGCCTGTTCAACCTCCAAAAGGATGAGATTATACCTATTAAACACTTACAGTTTCAGTTAGTTGAAAACATTTTTAAACAACCATGTTTTGGTCAACTTTCCTCTTTATGGTAGACTTCAGAAGCTTGGATGTTTTTGGTTTTATACAGAAAGCATGTAGTTTAAAAAATACTTTTCATTTATATCTGCCAGAAATATTTTTGTAATAATATTGACTAGCCAGCCACCATTCTGTTATTTGGAGGAGCTCTGCCGATAACAAATATGGTTACCTGATCTTTATGTTCCAGTGATTGACCTTGAGGAAAGCAGGAAACAGGTGCCATGTGAATATGGAAGCAGTTACCTTTCAGCATATAGAACAGGGTTCAGGTCTTTTGTTCATAGGGTCACTATGAGTTGTGTTCAACTTGATGGCACTTAACAACAACAACATGAATGCGGAACCAGCTACCTTTCAGCATCTACTCAAATTGAATTCGCTCTGAGTTTATCAGTTTTTAAGTTTTCTTGTAAAAGAGTGTAATGAGGTGTTCTAAGCCAAGGTCACAAGCAATCTAAATGTGCATGAAAAACGAAAGGGGACATTTTCATCTTAAAAACAAGCAAACTATTAAAATCTGTTGAAGATGTGGAAGGTAAAGGAGTGAATCCCATACGAATTGATTATTGAAATTACCTCAGGGGAACTTTTAGGGGTTTTCCTGATTTCTACCATCAGCATCCTGAAACAGAATCTATAGGACTGGAGCCTGTAATCTCACATTTTAAAAGGCTGCTTAGATGAGTCAAATACCTAGCTTTGTTAGGGAACCACTCTTTCAATGGGAACACGTCTGCTAAAGTAACAGGCCTTAGAGCTTTCGTTTCTGCCAATTTACTGATCAGATTTCCACACTCTATGAGAAGGAAATGTAATTTCAGGCCTGGAGCAATTATAAAAGCTAAAACAGCATGTAAGGAGGACAAATGACTACAGGAGAATGGTCAGATAAATGAAGGGTCAGAAGCATAAATGTCTAAGTCCTGATACAGAGCATACAGTTTACCATATCAGACTTTTGTTTATAGGACAAAGTCAATTTGTATTCATCCCAAGTGTCCTTTGCATTTGTATTAACATTTTGTATTTGTATTAATACTTTGGTATGTAATAACTTTATTGGCCTTCAAAACAGAAGCAGAGCAAATAGTATCCTTGTCTTAAGACTTGCAGTTGCAAGGAATTTGAGCCAGGTTCTAAGCCATGTCTGCAGATCCCTCACTCAGCTGTAATGTCTGAGATACTGAAGTTGGAGACTCATCATTTTTAAGGGTCAGGGGGATGCATTTAAAAGTTAAATTTTAAATGTTTAAAGTACAACTGCCATTTAAACAAGAGAACTTTAGATCTGGGAAATGTTTGAATCGAAACACCTCATTCTCGAAAAGGGTATATAACGATGGACTGTTTTAGATACATTTGTAGGTTGAAAATGTACAAGTTGATTGCTGGAAATTATGTCACTTAGCATATTATATCTTAAGTATGGGTTTTGTAGAAAATAATAGAATATATTAGTGGGTGCTTAACAAATTTAATGTATTTCTACTTTTAACTTTAAATTACACTTGTATTGATGAAATATTTGAGAATCCTTTGAATCAAAGTGTTCACTTTTTTCATAAATGAGAGACATTTGTACAACAGACATAGTTGATGTTTTTACTGCACTCCTCTAAGAGTTAAATTTTCTTTTTCCTCTAAGAATTTAGCAATGGCATTTTTAAAGAAGTGCTTCTGTTTGCTTTGTTATTGTTGAAATGGACAGAGATTGAGAGAGCTTTCTCCTAATTTTTAAATCACTGTGCTCCCTGTTAGGTTTTTAGATTTGTAAAGGAGCTATTTTGTCCACTAATAGTAATGAGTACAATGTTGTTATAAAAATATATTCAACCCTAAGAAATGGGTGCTGAGTGATTTTTATAATTTGAGCAGTTAAGGTATGTGCCAACATTTCTTTGGAGGGGATAACAAAAATATCCTCGCCTGTACTTTAAATCCAATCAGACTTTGGCTGCCTTCACACTTAATAGTGATCACTTTATGGCACTGTGAAATTCTTACATGAAGATGTTGAAAAGGAAGCCTACCACATTATTCTATTAAGGGTTTTCTGTATGCCAATAAACTGAAAACACGAGTCAACCCTTATTTTAAAAATAAATTGGATCAATTTAGGGTTTTAAAAGAATATTATTATGTCTTTTCAATAAAACTGAGTTATGTTAAAAAAATAATATTATGTCTTTTAAATAAAAGCTTCTTCATTGAGACTCAACGTTTTGTAAATATTCAAAAAGTTGTAGCTAGGTAGATTGTGCTAAATTATGCTGATTTCCCATGTGCACATTTTAATAGAGAAAGCAAGATATAGAGTGGTATTAGGTATGACTTGTTTTTTAGACTTTTAGTATCTAAACACACAACAGGTGATTTATTACATAAATTAAGATCTTCTGTTATATGACTTTGAAATCTAGAAATAACTTAAAGGAAATAATTTAACCAGCAGTACCTTTTGCTAGTAATAGTTGAGTGCCAGAACTCAGCTCCTCTAAAGGTAGACCAATTTTATTTCAATAACTTGGATATAGACACCCCAACTTCTCTTCATTGTTAAAGCCAGCAATTTCCATAGCAGAACTCCAGAGCTAGAGAATTGGGGAAACAAGCTCGAATGATTCATACCTGCTGTGGTTCTAGGAATGGTTATCAGAGAGAGAGTAAAAAATTTTAGCCAGTTTGAGTTTATGTCTTTAATTGCTGGAACAAACAGGAAGTCAACACATGGGCAATCAGGACTAACTGAAAGAACTTTTCATCATACATGATTAACTTTTGATTCTGATCATTTTTTTACTGTAAGTTCCATGTACTTGATAATTGATGCTGTGTAAAGGACTTCATGCATAAGAAACAAACCCAAAAAACTCCAAACAAGAAAACCTTGCCACTTATTTCCAGTGTTACCAAACTCCTTCACCACTTAAACTATAGACCCTGTGCATAATTGATAGGTTTATCTGTATGTCACTTTCTGGTACAATTATAAACATTCTTTTATAAAAATAGGTTTGGGTCTCCAGTAGAAACTTTTGTTACACTTTTGGTATAAGAAGTTAAACATTCTTTCATGTACTTTCCCACTATGTTCTTCATATTTCTTTGGCAATCAAACTTTTTTAATAATAAAAGGCAAGACTGCCAATTTTTTGGTGTAATACTTTAATCTTTTTTAAATATCAGTTTGAAAAGTTGCTGTTTGTAATGGAGAACACTGACCGTTATTTTCTACTTTATTAAATTAAAGATCCTTGTGCAAAAACACTCTAGCTAGCAAACTAAATGAGCAGCATTTAGTTTAAAAAGGGGACATAACTACAAAACACATTAAAAGTCATTGTAAGAGTACCATGACCTGGAGAACCAAGATGGCGGCAGTGGAGGAAACAATGTGAGGAGCTGGAGGAGCCGCAAGCTGCATAGAAATGGGCCGCTGTGGCCCTCCACAGTCCTCAGTTATCAATAATTGAACAGTTAAACAGTTGATTAATGGTCTTCAATATGGATTGAGGCTCTACATCAAGAGAACAAAGATTCCCAGAAAAGAATGGGTGAGTCCCACTTCTGTGCACTACCCGCCCCTGAGTCCACACTGCCATGACCCCATGGGGCCACTGGCCGGAGCCCACAGGTCCCCTGACCTAGACCAGGCGGCAAGCACCACAGCTGGTGTGACAGAGCCCCCCGCACGGCACGGCCAGCAGCTGCAGATGCCAAGAGCCGAGGGTCCCCAGAGCTGGGGGGCTTTGATGCCATGGAGTTGAAGGACTTGATAAAAGACTAGACTTGTTGTTTATAGAATTGCTGTGAGCCATAGAGAGATCTCTGTGGGCCTAGTGGATAGAAAGCTGTGCTACCAAACCAAAGGTCAGGAATTTTAATCTACAGCCATCAGGTCTGATTTTGATTAGTTTTGATCAAACACTCTTCTAAGTAATATATCACTGCTCTGCCAGTTAGCTATACAGAGGTAATTCGTGGTTGCTGTGATACTAACCACTGTGACACTGATGTGTCAAATGCAGTAATGGTTACCTGTGGTGCACAGTGTTTGGTGGAGCTCCCCAATTAAAACAAGCTTGGAAGCTGGAGTGACAACTACTTCCAAAATAGCTTGCCTCCAGAAACTCAGAGAAACAACAAAAGTTACACAAGTGTTCAGGTCTTTCATAGGGGCTATGAGTTGTCTACAACTCAACAACACTTAATAAAAACAGCATATCCGAGACAGCAAATCTCAATACACCACATCTTTTGATTTCTTGACTAGGGCTGCCAAGAACTTTTTAGATCTAAGGAGGGTCTGTTCACCACTCTCAAAGCCCCTTCTCCATTTGTAAAGGGGGAGGGTAGTGATACCTACTTCAAATTGCAGTCTGACCACTTGGTGGAGGGGAGGGGGGGCAATGTGGCCGTGCTGGAACTGAAGGTGCTGTCCCTGGCCGTGGTCTTCAGTGAGGTACAGGATCCAGACCTCAGGGGGTGGGGGGCTTCAGTAGGGAGTTGTGCCGCCTAGGCATACCACAGGGTATGCCACCTGCCCTCCCTCCTGAGTGTGTGGCCTGGGCCCCCAGGGAGAGCCATCCCATCCCCAGGGTGTGTTGTCCAGCCCCCAAGGAGAGCTGGTCCCTGGAGTGAGCCATCTAGCCCCTTGAGGTGTGATGCCTGGCCCCCGGGGAGTGCCATGTGGCCCCTGGGAAGAGCCGTTTGGCTCCAGGGGTGAAACGTTCAGCTCTTGGGGTGTGCTGCCTTGCCCCTGGGGAGAGCCAGTTGGCCCTCAGGGTGAGCATTTCAGTCATTGGGGTGTTCCATCCAGCCCTGAGAAGAGCCCTCAGGTTACTGAGAAAACTGCCTAATTTATACAAAGAAAAACTCACCTATAAAATAT